ATTCCAGGAGCAGGTAGGGGTGGGGCGTTGAGCTCAACCTGTGGGGCAGGGCCGGAAAACCGACTCCAGGGGTGGCTGCCACGCACGGACCAGGGGCTCTGAAATGCGGCTGGGGCGTGGGAGGGGCTGTCACACCGCGCAGAAAGACCTACTGTCCTCAGGCTCCCCCAGGATAGAACAGAAACCGGCTTCCATCACCTTAGGTGGCGCGCACACGCCCGACTGGGTCGTGTCTGTGTGGGTGTGAGTTTTGGAAGGGATGGGATTGGGGGAGGGGATCCCCATAGAGGCCACGACACTCCACACCTCCAAAGGTTGCTTTACAAGACCATGCATTGAGTCAACAGATGCTGGAGGGGAGACAGCGCGCTTTCTTAAGCCGCACAGGTGACTGAGGTGTTGTTTAATTTCTCTGCTGTTTGCTTAGGTGCGCGGAGTAACTCCAGAGGAATGTGCAGAAGGGATGGGCCTGGGACGAGCATTATAAGGAAGCAAGACTTGCGTTAGGTCTCTGAAAAGCACAGGAAAGAGGAATATATATTTCTCACGAGGCCGGAGGGACACCATGACCGAGGTTAGAGAGGGAAAAACCCTCCATGATTACTCAAACAGGAAAATGGGGGGTGGGGTGGGGGGGTGGCACAGGTACAATTAGCATGGGTTTTGGAGCTGGACAGGCTCGGTTAGAAAATCAGCTCTTCTCGTTTCTAGTGAAGTGAGTTCTGGAGAGTTTCTCAACTCCCGTGAGCCTCTTCTTCTTATCTCTTAAAAGGGAGGAATATGCCCAACAGGCGTGGTTCAGTTGGTTGGGCATCATCCTGCAGTGAGAGGTCACAGGTTTGATTCCGGGTCGGGGCACATGCCTGGGTTGCAGGGTCAGTCCCCAGTCAGGGGATGTGAGAGAGGCAAGTGATCCATGTTTCTCGCCCTCTCTTTCTCCCTTCCTTCCCCTCTCCCTAAAAATAAATAAATAAAATCTTCAAAAAAGAGAGAGAGTAATACAGCCACCTTCGTGGGTTAAAGACTAGAGGCCATGTCTGTAAAGCTCTCAACACAAAGCCTGCCCCTTAGTATGTATTCAATAACCAGCAGATTTAAAAATAACATTTAAAAAAAAAAACAAGATTGGCTTAGAGAGGCATGGGGAGGAGGTAATTTAAGAACTCGGGGAGAACCCTCGCTAATTAGCAGGAAGCCTTGAACTTTACCCTTGTCACTCATTTAGGTTTTTGAGCTGGAAATATGATGACATCGAAGTCCTAAGAGGATTACTTTGGTGCCGGTCTGTAGGACACGTTGGTGACACAGCACACCACTGCTCTCAGAAGCCGCCAAGAACCAAGACTGCCGTGTGTGTGTGTGTGTATGTCCCGTGCACCTGAACGTCAGGTGGAGGGGGAACACGTCTTCTTTTTTTGTTTTAACTTTTTTTTTAATTTATTTTTTAGAGAGGGAAGGGAGGGAGAAAGAGAGAGAGAGAGAGAGAGAGAGAGAGAGAGAGAGAGACATCAATGTGCGGTTGCTGGGGGCCATGGCCTGCAACCCAGGCATGTGTCCTGACTGGGAATCGAACCTGAGATGCTTTGGTTCACAGCCTGTGCTCAATCCACTGAGCTATGCCAGCCGGGGCCTGGAACATGTCTTCTTTGAGGGTGGACTGGAATGAGTTTTATTGGGCCCCACTCTACCCTAAAAGCAAGTTGGACCATCCAACAGTGGCAGAAAGCTTCCAGGAGACAAAACAAAACAAACCATGAAGTACCCAAAGGTAAAACTATTCACCTTGATGTGTCTCCCTCACTACTGAATTCTTCTTCTCTCACATGGCTTATAAGCCAAAAGCATCTTTATTATTTAAATTAGGTGAGTGTTTATATAACTTAGTCTCTAGTATTTATTTTTGTTTCCTCTAACAAAAAGAGATAATAAATCCCTTCAGTGTAAGTTTTTTAAAGTTGCCCTGGAACACATGAAATGAGACAATTACAGCTTTTAAATGAGTAGAGTGGACCTCTGAGGCTTAGGCTGCTGAGAGTGTATGCAGGAAGATAGCTATTGACGGATAAACCCACAAAAAATCTCTCCTGCTTCTTTGTTACAGGATCCAGCAAGGACACGGTGCCCTTGAGCACATCTGAGAAGCAACCATTTCATCAAGATTCCTGATCGATAAGTGTTGGCCACTGGAAGCGACCGGGTGCCTGGTTAGGAGCACACAAGGTGACGAGGGTCAAAGATGTCAGCCAATGCCACCCCACACGAGCCGAGATGTGACCCGCCAGCAGGCTTCCCCTGCAGTCGGCGTTAACCCCACACCAGACAGCTATGCGGACACTCTGTCCAGGAGAGAAAACGACGGCACCAGCAGTGTGAGTGACAGCACGTTTCGCCGGTGAGCACAACACGGGTCTGGGCGGGTCCTTCCACACGCTCAGGACGGATGCTGCCCTCATTGGAGCCTGCTTGAGGGCGACCCGCGCCAGCGCCTGGAGGAAGGGGCCAGGCTTCTCTGGAGCAAGAGGAAAAGGAGAGGACTGGGAAGGTCTCAGCATCGAGAAGACACAGGTTCTAGCGCCAGCTCTGAGGACAGGCCAACCTGGTTTCAGCTGCGTGAGGCCACGCGACGGGGCAGACCCTAGGCTGTGCACAGGAAGTCAGAGATGGAGGTACAGTGCTGCTTCTCCGGGGCTCCCCACCGAGTGGCGGGGCCAGGGGACGTCACCACCCCTGGCGTGTGCAGTCGATGATGCACGGGCACCTTCGCTGGAGCACGGGAGGAGCACCGGGTCCAGTATCTCCTCCTGTGTGTCCCTGAGCGGTTTACTTCCCCTTCCTGAACCCCTGTCTCCTCACCTCTAGGAGGCACGTCTGTACCACACGCCCCCCGGTGCCCTTCTCACTGTAAAAGCTATGATGAGGTTCCTTTCTTTCCATGGCAGCTCTTGTGTATCTGCCAAAAACAGAAACAAAAACAAAAACAAAAACAAAACCCTGCCTTTCTCTCCTGTTGGCTGAGGCCGCTGCGATCAGAGCGCTGGGAGGCAGCAGCGTGGACGCACACAGGCCTCGAAATAAAAAAGCAACAGCCTCTAATCGGTGGCTAAGATAATGCTAGTATGGGACCTCTGGGTGGCCCGTCCAGAGTGTTCCAGTTAGAAAGTGGCTACCGAGTTGTAAGGCAAAACTGAGCCCAGGCTCCCTGAACCCGGGCAACCTGAGACTTCAGAAGTCTGCGAGGGCTTCAAGGAGAGCTGCTGCTTGGGGACTGCTGATCGATAAGGCGTACACCACACAGCAAGGCTGGGGCTTCCGGGCCCCGCGGGGACTGGACTCCTCTTCCCCATCACTCACAACTTACTCCTATTGGAAAAACAAACTCAAATCCATTAGCAACACAGGTCAGGACCAGCTCGTTCTAGTGGGGGGCGGGGCAGGGTAGAAATGAAGAGCCCTGACCTTTATTAAATGCCAACATCTGTATTTGTTACCCTGAGGGTTTCTGGAAGCACCCGAACGGGAGAGGAAACATTATCACAAGCACCTTGTTAGGCACCAAATCATTTCACTCAGTTGTCACTTCCTCAGGGAAAGACCACAGCGAAAGCAAGTGATTGGTAAAGATGCTGGAGAGCAGAATGGAGGGAGCAGAACCATGCTCTCTTTGTCCTAAGGTGTAGCCACTGTTCACCCGCATGTCCCTATCCTTCGTCCACCCGCTAGTACAGCACAACCGAACGGAGTTGCCAGCAGCAAGGATCAGTTTGAGTTCAGTGTGTTCACCTGAAAGCTATTCCCTGGAGGGGCTTTCAGAGAAAGGAGACAAAGATAAATCATTGAAATGGTTCAAGACAGCCCTAAAGGAGCCCACAGCCCTGTCCATGGAGAAAGCTATGTCCCGCCCTAGGAAAATGTGGCAGAATAAAACTGAGCTTAGAAACAGCCAAAGTAAAGGCTGGTCACTCACATTATAAAATCATATGGTGAAGGTCCCTAAGACATACTGCAAGAGGAAAAAATTAAGTCTCAGAAAAAGTGATCCTAAAATAATCCCATTTTCATACTTCTATCTATCCATCCACCCACCCACCCCTGTCCTGTCTACAAAGATGCACATGGTAACAACCTTGCCTGGGGGGGGGGGGATGGGGGCCCACTGGTAGGGGTGAAGAGCTTTCAGTTCTCTTTATTTTCCTGGAACATTTCACTTTCTTCACAGGAGATGGGTTTGTATGTTACTTTGACAATTAAAACCAAGCGTTGCTGTGTTCTTTGCCTTTCCTGGAGGAAATAATCATTTAAACTGTAACTCAATTCGGAAAGATTTCACCTACATTTCAGGACCACGCCCAGGGCACAGATACTGTGCACCTGTGCAGAGCGCCCCGCCCTCTCTCCTCACCGACGTGCTCCTCCAGAGGCGATCTGGCGTCCAAATTTGCCACCTTAGACGCTACCGCACCCTTTCAGATGATGCTTGGATGAGTGATTAGGAGTGAAATGCCAGGTTATTAAAGCAGCACACCTGACACCTTGAAAACAGTCCCTTGTCCTTTCGGCCGGTCCTCCCCAGGCTCCGTGGGTCCCCAACAGCACAAACCTAGCAGCAGGGCCCCTTCCTTACACATGCTAATGAACTCATTGATTTGGGTGGGGATGAGCGGGCAGGGGGTGGGGGTAGGGACTGAAGGCTAGGATGAAGGCAGATAGGCAAGTCTCAAACACAACCAGAAATTCCAAATGCAATAACAATTCAAACAGGCACACAACCAGCAGGCTCAGCTGTGCAAACGCTCCAGAAATAGGATGCGTTTCAGACGCGGTGGCTAAACTAAATGTTCTTAATGAAGCCTCGGTCCACGGCAAGCGAGGCTTCACAATACAGTGATTCTCGCACCAAGAACATGTCTGCCTGGCTTTCCATTGATCATCGCCCATTAGGTAGCCGAGCCCCGCGGCACCAACTTCTGCAACCATGCACAGTGATCGATATTTATAATTACCTTTCTCCTTCACCATGGCAACCGGGTCCTCTGGCGAGCAGCACTGAAGGAAAGAGGAATGAAGTCTAGGAGTGCGAGTGCGCCCGGGCAGGCAGATGGGCGGCTGCAGAGGCTGCGAGGAAAAGCCCGGGCATCCACTCGCCAAGTCCGGGACTTCTTTCTAAAATCCCGCCCCCAGCTCCGAGGGCCGAGCTCCGGTGCCCGCCCCAGCGATCGCCACCGAGCGGTGGCCGCGCCCTGCTCGGGGACTCTGCCCTTAGGTCGAAACCACTCGCTACAGCTGCCGCTGTGACAAATGCAAAATTCCACTGCCCTAATCTCTGGTCATTGACACCACCTTGCATTCCTCGCGCGAGGCCCCGGGAACACGGGCGACGAAATGCCCCCGAGCCCGAGCCCCTGCCCCGCCCCGGGTCTGATAAATGATTGCCAGAAGAGCCGGGGCCAGAACCAGCCGGCGACTGTTCGGATCAGGAAAACCAGTCAATTGTTAGCTTGTTAGCTTCCTATTGCTGCTGCTTTCATTCTCTCTACAGCCTCTTCCAGACACACTGAAGAAATAAAAATGAGCCTCAGTCGAAATGTGATGCTAGTGGCTCCTTTAAGTGCATTTTTCTTCAACTTCTAAGGTCCTGGCGGCTCAGCTGTAATGAAAAATAAATAATGGCTTTCGGTTTGGCCGGCTGCTCCCCGCCCCCGTTCACCTGCACGGGGGCGGGGCCGGCGGTGGGGTGGGGACTGGGACGCGGAGAGACAGCCGGGGAGGGGATCTTTTCAGGATTCAATTCCTCGCTCAGATCAAAGTGAAAGTCTGACTTACCCAGTTGGGTAGGATTCTGACCCCCACCTTCTCTCTGCTTCATCTGGGATTTTAGGCAAACCCCCTGGGTGCGTATATGTGCGGAAGGAACCCTAGCTACCAAGGGAGGGGCGGTCACGCCGCCACCCCTCCCCAGCCTGAGCCTGACCTCAGCAGCAGCAGCAGCAGTGGCTCCGACAAGACTTCTGCTGTCCCACCCACAGGGTCACAGGTCGCTCTCCTGAGAGCAGGGGACTGCCGGGTCCTGGACGCCGACGCCCACCCCGCTGCACCACCTGCCTCCCCAGCGCGCAGACCCCAGCCGGTTTGTTCTGTCCCCACCACACATCATATACATCCACCGTGTGGGGACAATGTGATGAGCCAGAGACAAAAAGACAGACGCAGCACCGCTCGGAAGAGCAGCAGATGGCCAACACATCTTTCCCAACCACAACGCGCAGCCAGTATTAGCCTGTGTTTACTGCAAATATTGTAACGTGTTGGGGCTTAGAGAGCCAGGGTAACAGAAAAGAATGAAGTCAATCCACCTGCCTCATCTTTGACTTGGAGGTTGTGTGTATGGCTGAAATTACATTGGCAGGGGCCCCGGCCAGACCTTTACTGGGGTTTTCTGATGGGTAACAGTAGCAGTTCTCAAGCAGCTGTGACATTCCTACATCTGTGACTCAGGGCTTTACTATTAATAGCTTGGGTGTCTCAGCTTGTAAGGAAGGGCTAAGTCCACTCCAACCCCTGGGTCGTCTTTGCTATGACACATACTTCACCCACACGACTCCCTGCCTCCCCTGCAGCCCTGCGGGGCCGTGTTTTTTTCCGAAGGCAGCAGCCAGCTGGGCCAGAAGCACTGGAGAGCCTTCACGCAGCCTCTCTACCCCCCATTCATAAGCGGGAGCCAAGCCTGACAGCAACACAGCCAGCCTCCTGCCCAGAGGGATGGGCAGGGCGAGGGGTACGGAGGGGGCCAGCCCTTCCCATGCCCAAATCTTCACGGCCGAAACAGCACTTGTCGGCTGCTCCCACTCCTAATCACCCTCAGAGCCCTTAGGAGGTGCTGACCAGCAAAATTAACCGCAGAGAGCCCGAGTGAGTTTGGTTCTGTGAGCCTAGAGGGTAAATTGATTTGACTGTATTTTTTTGCTGCATATATAGATTAGCACCTCACTTAGGCACTTCTCTCCAAGGAGGTCGTGTCATTCAGCTCAAAGCCAAGGGGACAGTGTTCCAGCCTCCCTTCTCTCCCTCCCTCCCTCCCTCTCCCTCTGTCACTAATGGAATGTGACAGTAAAATGCCATTAGGTTTCTACCCCGAACCCAATCACACATGAGATTAGTTCAATCTCTCTTTCACTCGGGATGGCGATTTTGCATCCTGAGATTTAAGTGTATTAACTAAACAGGCTCCTTAGTACAATTCTGCATCTACCTGTGTACCTTTGTGGCTCAATTACCAGAACCCCTGGTTTACCAAGGCCCTCTGGCAGCTCTGGAGCCTAAGCAGGCGGAGTAACAGCTGGTGCCTATTCATTTCTAGAGCAGCCTTTTCTAAAGGAAAATACTACATAGAGGCTCGGCGAGGTTTCCCCCCTCCTGTGTTTTCCATGGAAAGAATTTTCCTGTGCCACAGTCAGAGTGAATGAGTCACCAGCGTTTAGTTGCTAAATAACAGTCATCTGGCTAAAGTTCCCCCGACAATCAGACACTGCTACTTTAGGATAAAAGCATCCACTCTGCACTTTCAAGATAACCAAAGAGGGTATTACTGAAGTTATTTTTGGAATGCGGGAGAGTAAAACCAAATTGTTTGCGTCTCCTCGCCTGGGGCCGAATGGTTCAGAGCCTTCAGAAGCAGCGTAGATATTTCCTACTTTACAGTTAAAGCTACATGGGGCCCAGCGCCATAAATCAAAGAAACAAGGAGAAATTTACAGTTCATAAGATGGCAGGACACTTCATTCTTATTTCTTAGAGAGGATTTCCAAAGAACTTAATCTCATTCCACTCGGATGAGATAAAACCATAATACAAACACCGACTCCTGATTTACTTGTTGTTTTATTTCCCAAGCTGACTCACGCCTTTTCAGTCACTCACAAGATGAAGCAATGGTTGTCCACAAGTGACCTGAGGACAGAAACCATTTTGTCAGAGAGAAAAGCTCGGTGAGCATACAGCCACTCTTGGCGAGACTCCAAGAGTACGTCATTTCACTGGAAGCCCTGCCAAGGAAGAGAGAAACGTTACAACCTGAAAACAAGCAACCTGACGGAGCCCACTTCCTCGGGGCTCTGCCTCTTCCCCGGAGCCAGGGATGGCCTACTGCTTGTGCACCTGTAGGGCAGCAAGTTCGGGATCCCCCTCTGGGCCAAGGACCCCAGGTTTCCGGGTATCATCCTTCCACACCTTTGGACTCATTGGCAAAACAGCCCTCCACATCCTTTCCAGCAGAAGTCAGCTAAAAGCAAACTCAAGAATGAGTTCCTTGTTTGCTTTCTGTTTAATCTTTACATAGATCAATCTCACGGGGACATTTGTGGAGCATCCACTATATGCCAAGTTCTGGGTTGGCAGCTTAAAAAACAAGAAGAGGCCTGGCTGGTGTGGCTCAGCTGACTGAGCGCTGGCCTGAGGACTGGAAGGTTGCTGGTTCTGGTCCCAGTCGGGGCATGTGCCTGGGTTGCGGGCCAGGTACCCAGTGGGGAGCGTGAGAGAAGCAAAAGTTTCTGTCCCTCTCTTTCTCTTTCCTTCCCCCACCTCTAAAACTAAGTAAATACAATCTTTTTGAAAAAATCTATTCTTTAAAAATAAAACAAGAAGAAAGCAGTGCCCTGGACTGGCTTACCATCAAGTGCAGGGAATGCATACGTGCAAATATTCTCAAGGAAATTAGGAAGGGGCTAAGACAGAAGAAGGAAATTAGGAAGGCGCGGAGCCCGACAGGAAGCCAGGAGAGGCCTCCAGCAGGGGAGGATGAGTAGGGCTGCCGAGCTAGAAAGGGGGGATGATCACTCCGAGTGGATGTCATGGGATGAGACGGCATCAAGCAGCTCATTGTTCCTGGCATACAGGGAGGAGGTCAAGCTAAAGCCGGGGTGGTGGTCACGGGGAGCACGGAAGGCCATGCTGAGGAGGGTGAGCCTTAGCAGTGGTGTGGTTAGTCTTAACCCTGACTATCAGTTCCAAAGTCCACCATGATCTGTCTCCAGTGACATCACCTCCTCCCTCCACACTGAGTTGTGTCGGTGTGCGCATGTCCAGTTTCTAACAGGCCCAGGAAGCGTCTACGCTTTTAGTCTATCTAAATATTTCTCTGGGTAAGAGAATAAAATGACAGCCACACACATCTCACAAACAGCAGGTTAAGCGGCGAGGGCCGACTGGTTTATCCTCCTGTAGCAACAGCTTCGGGTCCACAACTAGGCTGTGAGCTCTGCGAAGGCAAGAATGGTTTCACCCTCCTCTGGACTCCCCAGAGCACAGTCTGCAGACCTCCAGGGATGGAAACGCTAGGGGGGCTTTCAGTGCAGACCCCTGGCCCCCAGCCAAGGTCTGATGCCTCGGAGTCTCTGGAGACGAAGTGTGCACTGCAGCCGGCTTAAGTGACTGAGGACCACTGGCCCGAGAAACAGGAGGTGAATGAACGTGAGATTTACAAACATCCTGACAGTCACTGCGGTCTTACTGAAGTTTACTGGAAGTGATGGTTCCCGAGTTGCCTGCAGTCTGGGACAAAGTGAAATGTCTGAGCCCGCTTGATCCTGCTAACTCTCTGGTCCTGAACCGAGAATTCTTAGGATTTTTTCCACATGAATTGCACAGAATCAATGTCCAGCAAAGTTCTTTTCCATGAGTTCCTAAAATATAATAGAATTATTTTAGATTTGTGTCCAAAACTCCACCATGGTCCTTCTCAGAAGTCACTTCTGAGTAATAGGTTGCAGCTTGAGAGAATGACAAAACTTTACCGAGGTACATTGAATGTTCCCTATAAATAACCCACTTAAGGTTGGAAAGTATAGCACATAAAACAAGCCGTTTTCTTACAAGTATATTGGAACCTATTAATCAGCATTCAAAGAAACTTTCGATAGTAACGAAAGTTCCACCAACTTTAGCCTAATTTCAGGTACAGGAGAAGTTCATAAGTACAGAAATAGCTCTGAAAGATTTTGGAAAAGGCCATTTTTTAAAAGTGTACTATTAGCTTTATCCTTTTAAAATATTTTCTATGTAGAAATACAGTTATCAGAATAGAAAAATGGTCACTTTCTGTCATCTAGAAATGCCGTGCCTTCCCTCACAACACACCCATCCTTCTGGCATTTAAATGTCACCGATGTTCTTTACTGCCCCGCCAAGGATGAGCCCAACAGGCCAAGATGATGATGCTATTTACTGACCTTGAAAAGGCCAAGAACTAATGAAGGCTAAGAAGATACAGCAATGAACGGTGTGCACATCTATTTTTGCAAGAGATTGTGGGCTCTCTGGAGGAAGGTATCACGTGTGAATATCTCTATCACATAATAATAGACACAAAGAAGGAATGCAATATTTGATGACTACTAAGGAATTAATGTCTCCAGCTTACCATAGTAAGTCAAAACATTAGACAAGTACTCATTTTTATTGTCAAACAGACTGATTTGAGAACCTGACTTAATCAAATTAAAAATACATTCAGTCACGTGTATAAATCAATGTAGTGGTTGCTTGAAAACATTTGCTCAGATGCAAACCAATAAACAGTTCACCTTGGAGAGAAAGGAAGCCGAAGAAGCCGCTTTATGAAGTCCTCTTACTACCACTCTGTCAT